CCATCATCATCATCATCACCATCATCATCGTCGCCATCATCATCATCACCATCATCGTCGCCATCATCATCATCATCACCATCATCATCGTCGCCATCATCATCATCACCATCATCGTCGCCATCATCATCATCACCATCATCATCACCATCATCATCGTCATCATCACCATCATCATCATCATCATCACCACCACCATCGTCATCGTCGTCATCATCATCATCTCCACTATTATTATCATAATCATATTCAATGATATCGTTGATATATTTAGGTTTAATTAAAATTATCATCACTCTGAAAATGTGACTAACGAAATAACGCGGGAGGAGGAAATTGTTTTAACGTATCATACATGTAACATAGCGCAATGTAATATGCATGTAACTTAGTGTAATGTAATGTGACTTGATATAATGTAATGTAACATACATGTAACTTAATGTAACTTAACGTAATGCAATATGAGTGTAAATTGGTGTAATATCTACAAATGTAACTAATTGTAATCCAACGTAACTTAATGTAATACACATGTAACTCAATGTAACGTAATGTAATAGGCATGTACTTTAATGCAATATGACCTATATGTACATGTAACTAAATGTAATGTAATGTAATGTAACATAAGGTAATATACATGTAACTTAATGTAACGTAATGTAGCCAGTCAGCCAAGAAATACTGATAAGCTATCATGTGGCTCTGAGACACTGCTAAGTTTTTCAGACTTTCTGGCTTCAAAAGCTCACCTCGATGAAAATTACGATGACGATGGCGGTTATGATGATGATCGATTATTGATAACGATGATAATGATGACGAGGAGGAGGATAGCAATGATGATGATTGTTAGTGTGGTGATTAAGAGGATGATAATGTAGATGATGATTTTGAAGATTGGATGACGTCAAGAGATTGTGATTATGGAGGTGAGATAGACCAGATTGAGAAATGAAAAATGTTTTCAAATAATGTTAATTAAAATAAAAATTATTGTGTATTATTG